TTGCTTTTTTAAAAAAATGGTAATGTTTTAAAATTATAAGACTTTGATGCCCTTGCTGGTGTGGCTCAGTGGATTGAGTGCTGGCCTGAAAATCAAAAGGAAGCTGTTTCGATTCCCAGTCAGGGCGTACACCTGGATTGCAGACCAGGTCCCTAGTTGGCGGTGTGCAAGAGGCAACACACTGATTGATCTATCTCTCACACATCAATGTTTCTCTTCCTCTCTTTCTCTCTCCCTTCCTCTCTCTCTAAAATTAAATCTTTTAAAAAGTGAATAAATAAAATTACAAGGATATAACATAATCAAGCAATATCAAAATCTATTTTAAAATTTATTTCTCCATCTCTTGCTATATAGTGCAATTTTTTTTAAAGATTTTATTTATTTTATAGAGAGAGGTGAAAGGAGTAAGAGAGGGAAACATCACTGTGAGAGAAAAACATTGATTGGTTTGCTTCCTGCACACCCCCAAATGGGGACCTGGCCTGCAACCCAGGCATGTGCCCTGACTGGGAAGTGAACCGGTGACCTTTCGGTTTGCAGGCTGGCACTCAATCCACTCAGCCACACCAGTCGGGGCTGCCATTTTCTTTGAATTATAAATGAGGTATTCTCCAAAGCTGCAGAATGCCAAGGTTCTTTGCCCAGGAGTCTCTCTTTTTCCTTGGGAATCCACACACTTTCCTCCTCCTAGTCTCAGCTTGCTGCCTTCTTTCCCCTAGAATGTGAATTCCCACCAAGTTCCTTGGATATATCATTTGCATGGAATCAGTCTCAGACCAGGTATCTGCCCAGCTGTGCTTGTGGTCTATTCCCATCCTCCTCATACAGGGCCCACTCTACTGGAGTGTGGGGCAGAAAGGCCTTTACTGGCATGTTAAAAATGCCTTGTTTCCCTTGGTCTCTTCTACTCCAGTGACCTCTGTCTCCATTCAGCAATCCACCTCCCTATGGATATAGTCTGAACTCCATTTAAAAATGTCCTTTCTAAAATGGAAATTGAATCAACTGTATGGGAAAACATATTTGCCAATCATACGTCAGACAAGGGTTTGATCTCCAAAATACATAAAGAACTTCTATGACTCCACACTAGGAAGACACACAATCCAATTAAAAAATGGGGAAAAGCCCTGGCTGGTGTGGCCCAATGGATTGAGTGCTGCCCTGCGAACCAAAGGGTCACCGGTTTGATTCCCAGTCAGGACACATGCCTAGGTTGCAGCCCAGGTCCCTGGTATGGGGCGAACGAGAGGCAACCACACATTGATGGTTTCTCTCCCTCTCTTTCTCCCTCCCTTCCCCTGTCTCTAAAATTAGTAAATATAATCTTAAATGGGCAAAGGACCTGAACAGACACTTCTCCAAGGAGGACATACAGAGGACCCAGAGACACATGAAAAAATGCTCGACATCACTAGCAATTAGAGATATGCAAGTTAAAATCACAGTGAGATATAACTTCATACTGGTCAGAATGGCCAGCATTAATCAACAAACAACAGTGCTGACAAGGTTGTGGAGAAAAGGGAACCCTAGTACACCATTGGGAATGCAGACTGGTGCAGTCACTGTGGAAAACAGGATGGAATTTCATCGAAAAACTAAAGATGGAACTGCCTTTTGATCCAGCGATTCCACTGCTGGGACTGTACCCTAAGAATCCTGAATCACCAATTCAAAAGAACCTATGTACCCCAACATTCATAGCAGCGTTATTTACCATAGCCAAGTGCAAGAAACAGCCTAAGTTCCCATCAGTAAATGAGTGGATCAAAAAATTGTGGTACATTTACACAATGGAATACTATGCATCAGAAAGGGCTCCTACCCTTGGCAATTGCATGGATGGAGCTGGAGAACATTATGCTAGGTGAAATAAGCCAGGAGGTGAAATACAAATACCATATGATCTCACCTATAAATAAAACCTAATCGACGAAACAAACAAATGAGCAACCTAGAACCAGAGACTTGGAAATAAAGAACAAACTGACAGTGACCAGAGGGAAGGAGGAGAAGGGATAATGGGGGAAAGAAGGCGAAGGGGCAAGCAACAGAACATGAATAGAGGACTCACGGGCATGGACAATCCACGGGGGTGACTGCAGGAGTTAGGGGAGGACAAGGTAGGGGTGAGCAATGGGGAAAAAGGTGGGGCAACTGTAAGTGAACAATAAATTAAATAAATAAATAAAAATGAAAATGTCCTTTCTGACCATAACCCTTCCCTCCTGTCCTACATTCAGGAGTCTCACTGGAACCTTCAGTGCTTTGATTCTAACTACTCTCTTCCAGGCTCCCAAGGCCTCCAGTCTAGCCTGAATCTCATGGTCCTTCTCCAGCTGCTCTAATTACCTTGTTCCTTGGCCCTAGGTAATCAATATCCTAGCTGTCAGACCAGAGTGGTGGATCAACCCAGTGGTCCATCTTCTACTTTAGCTCCAGAAGTGCTGGTATCTGCTACAAACGTGTCTGGTTGTGCCTGATCTTGATCTTCTACTTCATCTGGACTGTCAGGTCACCTATCTCACTCCCGTATCTATTAATGGCATTTTTTTTTATTTGACAATTCTTTTTGGACCCAGCCCGCAACCCAGGCATGCGCCCTCACTGGGAATCGAACTAGCAACCCTTTGGTTCACAGGCCAGCACTCAATCCATCAAGTCACACAAGCCAGGGCAAAAGTTGACAATTCTTAGAAATTTCCTTAATCCAGTAAGTTACCCCCTCAATAACCTTAAAGTCTACTTCATCAAGGAACTAGAAACCAGCAAGCATGAAACCCCTCTAAATGCCTTTCTACAAACTAAATCCTCATCCACTCCCATCGGTCACTCTTTCCCTCTAGTAAAAGTGGTGCCTCCATTCCTTTCAAAGTTTCATGTACCTACCTGTCCTCTACATTCTTTGCCCAGACAAAAAGTTCAGGCTACTTAGAATGGTTCAAAGTGTTTTCACACTGTCCCCCAACCTTCCCTGTCAGCCTCAACTCCCTCTGCTACTGTACATGAAATGGGTATGCTCCTCATTCCCAAAGTACACCATGGGAATCCAGATCTTGAGCAAAATTAATTCATTTATCATCCATTGAGCACCTATATTCAGTAGGTCATAATCTTACAGATATGACTATTCCTCATGAAGAATCCTCCCTTTTCTCATTTCAGATAATCATTTCTCTTTTATACCCACTCAGCAATTCTGTGCTCTGAGGCTGCAGACTTGCCCCAAGTCACAGAAAAGAAACATTAGCTTCTATACTCACGGGCCACCTGCATTCTCTACTCCTACTCCTTGAAGAGTAAGATGGGTAAGAAGAGTAAGTGTCTCAATCTTCAGATGTCTGATCTGACTCATGGCCTGACTCTCAATGAAACTCTAACCTAAGGCAGCCAAATTAGTACTTTGTTACCCTCCTCCCTCCAGGGGTTTGTTCCCACCCAGCATGAGCCTGTCATATCCTTCCACAGCTCTCTGGCTTGCTTGGACTAAATAACCCCTCTTGGTCTAGTCCTATCTAATCCATGCATGCTGACTCCAGGATTCCCCTCCTGGAGAACTGGAATCACATGGCAGCAGGCCAGAATCCCACAGTCCAGATAGAGTTGGTGTGGGCATGATGTGGGCATGACTGATAAAGACTGATAGGGAAGTCCTCTTCATAGGGTGTTGGCCTAATCCTGAAGGCACTGCTCAACCAATGAATGGATGGCCCCAGTAATGCTGGATTACTCAAGGGGCAGCCCAAGCCAATACTTAGAACATAAACAAAACAGAGGCACCAAAATTGAAAGCAAAAAAATTAAGACCAGGTTTTGATATACATACATTTTAAAACATTTGGGGGTGGGGGGTGGAGAAGGAAAGAAACATCAATTGGCTGCCTTTTGCCCCAACAGGGGACCAAACCTGCAACTGAGGCACGTGCCCTAACCAGTTATGAACCGGCAACCTTTCACTGTGCAGGATGACGCTCAACCAACTGAGCCACACTGGTCAGGGTGATATACATGTATTTTTGGAAGCATAATCATGTTTGACTCCCTTGTTTCATATTTCCATTTTTGAATTATATATGGAGAATGGTGCACTGCAGTCTTTTTTAGGGTTTATAGCCTTTACATCTTCATATGGTCTTGGTTAGGAGGAAAGTCTTTAATGACTTGCCTTGGAGGTGGGTCTCTTTGGCCTTGTTCTATTCGACCTCTTAATCTACCACTTGGAGAGAGTTATCAAGTTGAACAAAGCAAAATTTAATAGGGACAAACATGAGAGCACACTAGTATGTCCAAAGTGACAACTATATACATATTACAAAGTGAAGGAGCATGGATTGGGCAACAGCAAAACATGTAAAACTTAGGGGTTCCAGAGGACAGTGATTCACAGTTGAGAACATGGTGTAAACACCAAACCACAGGCCCAAAGGAGGCTGGGGTGGGGAAGGAACCCCAAATTACATGGCATGAGGAGGCATAGATAAAACTGAGGGTACTCAGCTCAAGGAAGCCTCAGTTGTCCTGGTAGGGGATAGGGATTACATTCGTTTAGTAGAGGGACAGGGTGGAGGCAAATCAGTAGTGGAGGCAAATTTAGTACTTCGCTTGTGGAAATTTTTAATTGATTCCTGTAGCCTCTCTTCCACATTGCCATTTTGTGAAGTGGCTCCTGAAGGGGCAAAGTAGACATCAACATTGCTGTTAACTTTTTCAGTTTTTTTTTTTTTTTTGCCTGAATTCCAGCAGCAGCACTCTCACTTGCATCTGCTTGCAGTCTCTCTCTCCCGATTTACCAGATTGGCGAAAAACTTTCAGTTTTTTCCATAGATAGCTCTAGTAGTGCATAGTTGTCTTTAACGTCATTTGAAACAATTTTCCTAGATTGTATCATGACAGCTGTCATATCAAGGTGCATTTTAAAAACCTTATAAAAATTGGTGTTTTTGTGCAGCCATTTTAATATTGAAGGTGGAAGAAAATACAGAATGTTTTTGGCGTATTACACTTTATTATTTCAAGAGTGGCAAAAATGCAACAGAAATACAAAAAACAAGATTTGTGCAGTATATGGAGAAGGTGCTGTGACTGATCAAACATGTCAAAAGTAGTCTGTGAAATTCCTTGCACTACTGATGTTTTAACCAAATAATTCTTTGCTGTGGGGCTGTCTTATACATTGAAAAATGTTTAGCAGCACCCCTGGCCTCTACCCACTAGAAGCCAATGGCAGGAGATAGCTGACATACTCAAAAGATCCAAACCAGTAACGTTATTGGTAAAAATGAAAAATGTCTTTTACAGAAAAACTAAACAGGCTTTTTGGCCAACCCGATATATTCCCCATCATTACCAGAATCACTACTCTTAAAACTTTACATGGTCCTTTTGTGAGGCTGTCTTCCTTTCCAGTCCCCTCTCTCTCCAGGGCCTGCTATCCTCTTTGCTACAAAGTACCCCTTTTGCTTTGTTTACCGGCCTAGTTTCTTCCACCCAGTAACACTTTTGAACCTTACCTCTAATCACTTCTTTGATCCCTTGCCCACATAATATTGTCTACTCCTATTTTGAGCCTTTGTTATCGTTTCGTTGTTTTTATTGATTTTAGAGTGCGGAAGGGAGAGAAACACCAATTGGTTGTTCCACTTATTTATGCATTCACTGGCTGATTCTTCTACCGAACCCGCTACCTTGGCTTATCCAGATCACACACTAACTGAGCTACCCAGCCAGGGCTATTTTGAGCCTTTTAAATGAACCCTGCCTGATAGGCTTCTATCATTCCACTTATTTAGATCTTTCCTTGCCTCTGTACTGCAAGTAACTCTATGTTAGGTCCTGTGTTTTATTCATTTTAGCACCTGTCACAGTGCCTGGACCATAGCAGGAACTCAGTGAATGGCTGATGAAGAGAACTTTGTAAATTTCCTTCTGCAATAGGCACAGTGTTTGTTATAAAAATTAAACTTGGTCTTTTCATTTCATTTTTGACAGAGGGGAAGGAAGAAAAACATCAGTGTGGGGTTGTCTCTGACGTGCTCTCTACTGGAGACCTGGTCGGCAACCCAGGCATGTGCCCTGACTGGGAATCGAACCAGTGACCCTTTGGTTCATAGGCTGGCGCTCAATCCACTGAGCCACGCCAGCCAAGGCTAAACTTGGTCTTTTTAAAAGACCCAGAAATCAGAGCTACCTCAGAATATTCCCTTGACCTCTCCACAGCAGCAGAGACCCTAAGAATGGACACGGGTTACTGTGATATGGCTGGACTGGCCCAATTCTTATTTTGGAGGGTTTCAAACTCTTTGAGAATTTAATGAAAACCAGACCCTTTCCCCAGGAAAATGCAATCACACACGCAATTTTCCACCTTGGTTCCTTGACCCCCAGTACCTACCAGTGTCTAGGGTGTCCCAACCCACCCTCCACTGCCAGCTTCCTTCCCAGTACCACAGGTAAAGAACCCCCTACCCCAGAGACTCTGGGTTCTAATTGGAACTCAAAGTGTGTGGGCATGGTCTGGTGCTGTATTTTCCTGGTTAGCCCCACTCATCCATTCTAGAGTGCTGCCAAGCACTCATGGTCTATGCCTAAGATCTCCAGAGAAATGGTAGATGCTGAAAAGAAATGAAGGTTTCACCAATGGCAGGGAGGGCAAGCAGGAAACAAGGCAGTTAAAAACAGAAAACCCCAGGCACTAAAAGGGGTACAAGCCTGACTGTTCAGTTCCTCTTCTGGGTGGCTGTATCTCATTACATAGTTAACAGCCACCAAACATAAGGGAGAAGAAATGATTAACAGAAGAAGCATTTATTACCAAAAACAAGTGCCACACACACTCAGTGCCTCCAGCCCCATCCCTGAGGATAATATGAAGTCCTTAGCTTGGAGGAGGAAGCCTTTAGAGGAAAATGACTGGCTGGTTCACAATGCCTCAGCTGGCTATGATGAAAGGGCCATTGCAGGGACTAGTTATATGTCATCGCTGGGCTTGAGAAACCCTAACGATAAGAACGGGTGCAAGTTGACTAAGGATTTTAATCACTATTCCAGCATTTCTAGGGGTTGTGGTTAAGCCTGATACTAGCTCTCTCTACAAGCACACACATAACTAGGGTGTCCCCCTCAAAGAATCAAAACTCCTCAGGATCAAAACATGGACTGGCAGAAAAGGAAAATCCTTACACTCTGCTAACTGATGCAAGCCGGATCCAGAGTGGACCACACTGCTCTCAGCACCACTCCAAAAGGCATCCATTGGCAAGAGCTGCCCAAAGTGGCACTGCCACCAGCCTGGTTCAAACCCTAGAACCTAGGTTAGGAATGGTCAGGCTCTACTGCCTTCATACCATCTGGACTTCTGGCTCCTCAGCTATTCCCTGGAGCTTTTCCATGATGCACCCTGAGGGGGAATCAGGGGTTGGGGGGGACTCTCCCAGGGCTTCAGATAACACGTAGTAGACAATCTCTTGGGCACTGGTCTGATTCACCACATGGATGATGGGACTCGAGGTATCCTGAGAGGCTGAGAGGGCTGTCCCCTTACTACCTCTGCCCTTCTCTTCCTCTTCAGCTTCTTCCTGGGGTCCTGACTCCCCTGGCACTGTTTCCAGAATGATGCTCTGCAGGCTGCTCTCATTCAGTGACACTCCCAGGCCTGATCCCTCTTGTGGTTGCTGTAGCAGTTGCTGTGTCAGCTCTACACTTTCATAGCGAACTAGCTGGAGCCGCATGTAGCCATCTTCATGCTCCTTGTACCTGGTGAAGTAAAAGTGCAAAGGTAGCAAACATGGGCAGGGCACTACAGAAATGGCCAGGAGTGTGGCAAGTTAAGGGACAAACATAAGGAGTAGAAGCAGCCCTGCAATTCTAAGTGATGGGAGTTGAAGACAGAAAAGATCTTTTCAGAATATTAAGAGGAAAGCATCATTACTCAAAATGGAAATTTTTATGTAGTAATCAGAGGGGGAGATGAGAGAGGAAGGGGGAAAGAAATGAGAAATCATTTGTTGAGGGTGGGGGCACAAAGCTATGGATCTAGATCCTTAGGCTCTAGTTCTAGTTTTGGCTATAGGACTTTGGGCACCATTTATTTTGTTTGACACTGTGCCTTGGATTCAAACATCAGAAAAACAATCTTTGCCCCACTGCTATTCTTGGGGTTCCTTGAGCCTAAACGGAGATGGGACATCAAAGCACCATCAAATTCAGTAATTTTAACTTGTTGAAATAATATGGGGGAAAAAAATGTTGTGTAAATCTAAGCTGGGGAGGATGGGAGAGTTGAGACATACCGAAAACGGGGGTGCCCTGAGGGCCACTTGAACTGGTGCTTTTTGCGAAGATGCACAGTGAGGTTGTTGCCCCTTGTGAAGCATTTGTCACACACGTGACATTTGTACCTTGGCTCTGAGTACCCCTGATGGGGAGAGGAGGGAGAGTAAGGTCAGCTCTTCACCCTGGGCTCCCCAACACTTCTGCTAGCCCCTTCCCACCACCAGCTCCACTCACTTCATGTACTTTTCGGTAATGGGACTTGATGGAGCAGAGTGCTCTGGCACTGAAGCTGCAGTTCTCAAAATCACACCTGTAGGCTGGCTCCTTGCTATGGGTATCCAGGTGCTTCCGGAGGTCAATTAGATTCTTGCAGCTGCCAGAAGAGGTCAGGAGGGGTTGGAGGGCATGAGGTACCCTAGAACACGAGGTCTGTTATTTTTGGCCCTCGGTTCCCCTTACCTGTAGTCACAACAGTCGCATTTAAAGGGTCGGTCCTCGCTGTGGCGAAAGCGCATGTGGTTACGGAGGGAGGATGGCAGTGGACAGGTCATATCACACAAAGGGCACTTATAGTGATTCACTGGGAGAAGCAGAAAGGAGGCTGTGATCTGAGGGCCAGTGGAACCTTGGAGGGTGGGCAAGGAGGTTGGTGGCAGCCAGCTACTCACCGTGGTTACGCATGTGGTCCCGCAAAAGCCGCTCAGTGGCAAATCTCTTGGAACAGTGAGAGCACTGGAAGCGTTGCTCTGGGGTAGGGCAGGTGAAAGAAAGGGTGGACTGTAGGGAATGGAGGAGAGGTAGAGAGAAGGAGTCCCAGAGAGGGGAACCACCCAAGGAGACAACAGCAGTTTAGGGAACTATGGATGGACATAGTATCAAGGAAAAGAGCATAGGACTTTGCATCGAGAACCTGAATTAGAATCCCACTTTGACCACTTATTATCCATGCGGTTTCAAGTAAGTGATTTTAAGCTCTCTTGGGCCTTATGTTCTTCATCTGCAAAAAGGGGGATGAAAAGCCTACCTCATGAGGTTGTGAGGATTCACCGAGATAACTAATTAGGGCACATGGTAAGCCCTGAATAACAACGTCTAATAAATCTGAGTCAGCAAAGACTGGCAGATGACTGGGCCCTAAAGGGAGATGTAGCTACACTGCAGATACCTTCAGTGGCCCCCTCCCCTGGAAATATGACCCCAACCCAAACAGGCAGAACAACCTGCACCCATTCCCCTTCTTCTGATTGCTTACGATCCAATGAGGTCTGGCGACGGATGTGGTCTAAGAACTTGGTGTTGTTGGCAAACATGCCCCCACAGGTGGGGCAAGCCACCACCTTCTCCTGGGTATGGCTACGGAGGTGCTCACGAAGCTTACAGTGGTCCTTGAAGGTACAGGTACAACCTGGGAAGGAAGGCCCAGTTACGCTCCAGCAACAAACTTGTAAAGTAGGTTCTGGTACCCCCAAGTCTCTCCAGACAGCAGCCGACTTTGCCCTGCAGGACCCTTCCCTAGATGCTCTAGCCCCTCAGCAATCCCAGGGTTTCTTTAAAGACCAGAAGTTAAGGAGTGGTCCTACCTTTCCAGCCACACAGCACCACGTGGTTGTCTTTACCAACTGCTTTGTATTCACAGCACAGGCTGTGTGCTTCCACATGCCGATAGAACCACTCAGGATTGTCGAAGGAGCTCTGTGCCAGGAGCAACTTGGGGTAAGGATTGAGGGTGGGTGGAGGGACTCTTAACCTATGCGTCCAAAGGGGGCTTCTTAGCTTTCTCCCAAATTAACTTGATGGGGATGGGAACATTTGAGCAAGGGAACTACCCAGAAATAAAGGAGAAATACTACCAGGACTCTTGGGAACACAGGGGACTGCAGAAAGAGTCAAGGCATCTTGAGTTAAGATCCGCAACTTCTTTCCACCCCTATTACCAGCACCACCTGCTGACCTCACAGTGCTCCCACAGACACAGGAAGTGGTCAGGGATGTCAGGGATGATGTTCCGGCTATGGAAGTCCAGGATGCAGGGGCTGAGGTCAGCCTGGCTCTGCAGGGCCTGCAGCCCCCACTGTTTCAGCTTGGTGTGGTAGCAGTGGAAGTAGACATGGCGGACAAGATCAGCAGAATTGTCCAGAGAACAAAAGCCACACTCCTGCCACAAGCAAGAGAATTCTTCCTCTGTGGAAAGAAGTTTAGAAAGAAGAGTGATACTTTCCAATGTTCAGCTCTCCTTTCACCTGTGGCACTTAACAGTAAGTGAGGAGGCTGGAGTCTGATCAAATTACCAGGAGTTCATTCAGCAAATACCAGTGCTGGGGATGTAATGAGTAAAGAGTCCCAGTCTTTGCCCTCACATAGCTTTCAGCCAGGGAGATAAAAAAACATGAATCAAACAATCACATGTATAAATATAAAACTATCACCAGCTGTACCAGTTTTAAGTATTATGGGGGGGGGGGGATATGAGGGTGGTGCACATAGTACTACAAAATAAACAGAATTAATTTGAGGTAAACAGATGTCTTTAAGTGCCTGCGTTGAGATCAGAAAGATGAGCACCTATAAACTAGGTGGGGAAGTGTGGTCTGTGCAAGATCCAGTGCCAGAAACTCAGAGGTGGCAGGTATGACAGGTATGCACTACCCCGGCCGAGTTTCCACTATTCCCTAAGGAAGATGCTGCCTCACAACCTAACTACAAATCCTCCTTTTCCCCATATTCTCCTCAAGATCTGTCTTCTCCAGGAAGGTCCAACAACTATTCCAATCCACTTCCTATCTCTACCATCTCTCTCCAGGCACCGTATTTTCAATGTTTTTTACGGGTTTACTTGTTTTGAAAAGTAGGTACTTTTAAAAATAGAATAATCCCCTAACTTCTCTTTTGTGTAAGTATCGTTACTTTTGAAACTGTTAGTTATATTGTTCAGTCACTAGATTTCAAGCAGAATTTGAAGAGAGCTGTCTCTATACTTTCTATAGGACAGTTTTTCAAACTGTGTTGTGACCTATTAGTGGGTTGCAAAATCAATTTAGGGGACTGCAAACGACTTTTTCCTTTTTAATGAAAGAATAAGATGCTTCAAAGTGCATTTAATAAAAGGCAAATATTTTTTCAAGTATTTTTTTAACTTTTGTGAACAGGGTTGTGATATAAAATGTCTTCCTAACTGGTGATCACAGTAAAGAGAAACAGAGAAAGAAACACTACCAGGGAGTATAAAAAAGCAGGTTGCAAACATCTCGTACAACATAAAAATAAAACCCGGCATGAAGATCAGCTGCTATCACAAACAATACTGTGACTCTCCAGACCAGGAAGTTCAAGACCGACAGACTACCTCAGTGGAAACAAACAGTCATTGACACCCTTCACCGTGGGAAAGCAACCTAAGACAGAAATTCAGGAAAAACTAGCCACCAGATGTCATCTTTGTGTTGGGTTTTAGAACCCATTTTGGTGGTGTCAAGACAACTGGCTTTGGCATGACTTATGATTCCTCAAATTGCACAGAGAAAAGTGAATCCAAACATAGATGTGCAAGACATGACCTATATGAGATGAAGACCTCAAGAAAACAAAGAAAGGCATCCAAGAACAGAATGAAGACAGTCAAGGGACAGCAAAGGTCAATGTTGATGCTGTGAAAAGTGAGCTTGAGGTTGGACAGTAGAAGGAGTATGATTCTTTAGTAACTTTATCTGTGCTGATTATGCAGATTTTCATGAGAGGATTAACAAACTAAGGAACTTTTAAGTGTCTGGTTGTTAGAAATAAAAACAAAACAAAACAAAAAACCCCCAGCCCAGGCTAGTGTGGCTGAGTGGACTGAGCGCCACCCTGCAAACCAAGGGGTCGCCAGTTTGATTCCCTGTCAGGACACATGCCTGGGTTGCAGGTTAGGTCCCCAGTGGGGGGCACATGAGAGGCAACCACACATTGGTGTTTCTCTCCCCTCTCTTTCTCCCTCCCTTCCCCTGTCTCTACAATAAATAAAATCTTTAAAATCATAGTTATCTAATTTATGTATATACATGTAGAGAGACGTCAAAAAGAATGTTCATTAAAGTACTGTCAGTAACTGTCTTTTGATAGGAATAGTTGCAGATTCATTTTAAAAATCCTTGTTGAAGTTTTCTATAAGGAGCCTACAACATTTCTTTTTTTTTTTTTTTATTGTATTTATTTTTAGACAGAGGGGAAAGGAGGGAAAAACAGAGGGAAAGAAGCATCAATGTGTGGTTGCTTCTCATGCACCCCCCCACCAGAGACCTGGCCCACAACCCAGGCATATCCCCTGAACAGGAATCAAACCAGCGATCGTTCAGTTTGCAGGCAGGTGCTCAATCCACTGAGCCATACCAGCCAGGGCGCTATAACGTTTCTATAAACAAAAAAAAAGAACAATTAAGAAATGAAACCATCATTCTCCCAGACTGCCTTTTCCCTCTCCAGAAAGGAAAGTCAGATTTTCCACCTTCCCTTGAGCTCTTTCTCCTGCTCCCTTACCCAGAGGATCCTCCTCCTCTTCCTCTTCCTCCTCTGAGCTATGCAGGTACTTCTGCAGGTGCTGAGTGACATGCTCGCAGAACTCCTCCATGGCAGAGCACACAAAGGAGCAGGACCCCCACTCACACTGTAGCCCCAGTTTCTCCTTTCGGGGAACTTTCCCAGAGGGCGGCATGGCCTTCACCCTAGAACAGGAGGAAGAAATCCACAGCTGCATGGATTATACCCAACTGTGGCTGGCGGTAAATACCTGGGCAGGCAGCCTACCTAGAACCAGCAGAGGTTCCTCCAGTAACCTGTGTGAAATGCTGTGCTTTTTCAATAAGGATGGAGTAACAGTTCTGCAAAACCCTGGAAGCTGTCTGGTGGTTTTGGGAGAGGAGAGCACACACTCACATTATTTAGCATGTGCCAGGCACTGAGCGAAGCATGTGAACAGACATTTTCTCATAAAGCTTCAAAACAACCTACCAAAGACTTATCCATATGGGAGGCAGAACAAAGGTCAGGTTCAAAGAGGTGGCTTTGGAGAAGAACCAGAGTTCAAATCCAGAGTCCTGGCTCCACCATCTACTAGCTGTGTGACCTTAGCCAATTAACTTAATCCTTCTACCCCTGAACATAGTCAGCTTCAAAATGAAGCACCAAGACCTTTTGTTTTTAATTGCATACTTACTACATGCCAAGCACCATACTAAACACTTTATTTACATTGTTATCACCCTATGTGGTAAGCACTATTTTAACTTTAAATGCCTCAGTTTCCCAAGTAGCATGGGAACAATTATGCCTATCTCATTAAATTTATGGACCAAAATACATAATGGATATTAAAATACTTAAGCATAACACACTGCTAGAATTCAACAAATGTTAGCTATTCGTATCCTGGCTCCTTAAGGTGAGATTATCTAATCCTACAAAAAAAGGTCAACAAAAGGGCAACCCGAGTGATCTGTAACACTTCTTTTCATCAGGAATCACAATAAGAAGCAATCAGTAAATAGTTAAGAGTATACATAATAACCCAAAGCACCGAATGAACCCTGAATGGTGTTCAAGAATAAGGCGGCGGGGGACCCAGGTTCTGAACCTCCTAAAGACTCACAATTTGGCTGAAGAGGTAAGACTCTGACGTGTGAAGACAACCACCAATATAAAGCGCCCGATGAGGGAAATCAGGACAGAAATGCCTGTGGGCAGGCAAAACGGAAAGGCTTGCCAGGACCTGGCCCCTGGAAGGACGCGTAGAGTTCGGAGAGAAGGAGGGAGATCGTCCCGGCGAGTAAAACTTCTTCCTCGCAGCCCCTCAGGATTCCCGGGTTCTTTCCACCCAAGGCATGGCGGTGACAGAGTCGCAGCGGCAGCGAAGACCCAGAGGGGAAAGCAGGGAGGTTCGAGTCAGGGTTAGGGGTCCGGGACGCAGCGGGTGACAGGCCGACCAGCGCGGTCGAGCTGCAAGAGGAAGCCTCGCTGAGACTGCTCGGTAAGAGCCTGGCCTTGAAGACAGCCCAAGACTCAATCCCGGACGCTGCCCCGCCAAGCCCTAAGCTCCAGTTTACCAGCGTTAAGTCTCGCCAGTTCTCTGGCCACCTCGGGCCATTTCCGGAAGGTTGCTTGAGCGACATCCAGAGACAGCCAATCGCCGCTCTTGTATCCTTCTAACAGCCGATGGCTGCTGCAGCTGACAGAACAAGTGGGAGCCAAAACACGGAAGGGGCGGGAGTAAGGGGCGACGGGTTGCCAGGAAAGGTGGTCCTGCGGAAGCCGCCAGGTTCCAGGCAAAGCGCAGGCAGGGAGCCGGAGCCGAATTGCCCCAACTGCGCATGCTCAGCGCTCGGCTCACAATGGACCTGCGCGAGGCTCCGGCTGTGTGCGCAGTGGGGTCTTCCTCCTCCTTTAGCTCGCTGTGTTAGCTGGCTGTGTAAGCATCGAGAAAGTGGTGTGCGAAGCTGGGTCCCCAGTGCTGCCAGCCCTGCTCAGCCTAAACTTCATACCATCTCTGTCCTTCATCTTCTCTTAAATATAGGTATTCCTTTGCCAGCCTGTCTATGTCCCAACAACTCTGCATCCTGTGCTACCAGGCTCAGTGAACAACCATGTTGTTCTTAGTGAACATCCATTCATTCACTGCTTCAAGTCAGAAACCGGGCAGTCATCCCTGATTCCTCCCTCACTGGTGACATCCAATTCATTATTAAGTCCTGTGAATTCTACCTTCCTAAACACCGGATCTCTCAAATTCATTCCCACTCTTCATCTACTCCGTTCCTCTCTAATTTAAATGAACTAGAATGTTCCCAGCCTAATGTACATACTAACCTAACTGGTTCCTCTCCGTGCACTCTTGCTTCCCACCAAACCAGCAATTTTCAACTGGTGTGCTGCAAGAATTTTTAAAACGTGCATTACTGGACTATTTAGTCAGGGATATTAACCTCTTTTCCCTTAGATTTAAAAAAAAAAAAAAAAAAAGGCAACAGCCGCCCTGGCTGGGTAGCTTTTTTGGAGGATCAACCCAATACATAGAGATTGCAGTTCAATCCCCAGTAAGGGAACATACAAGAAGCAACCAGTCCGTGGTTGGTGTGGCTCAATGGATTTAGTACCAGCCTGTGAACCAAAGGATCTCTGGTTTGAGTCCCAGTCTAAGCCGTATGCCTGGGTTCACAGCCAGGCCCCCAGTAGGGGGCGTGTGAAAGGGAACCACACATTGATGTTTCTCTCCCTCTTTCTTCCTTACCCTCTCTAAAAATAAACAAATAAAATCTTAAAAAAAAAAAAAAAAAAAGCAGCAGCAACCAGTGACTGCACAAATAAGTGGAGCAACAAATAGATGTTTTCTCTTTCTCCCCCTTCCTCTCTCTTAAAAAAAAAAATCATTAAAAAATGACAACAGCCAACACAAGAGCTATCTGGTGTGAATGAATCAAAATTAAACCTGTTTTTTTTGGTCAGATCAGCAAAAAAATATAATACATTTTTTGGTGTGCCACAGAAATTTAGTAATTAAGTTTATGTGTGCCATGAAATAAAAAAAGATTGAAAATCACTGCTCCAAATAATTCTTGATAGAGCACTCAAAGTGATCTTTATAAAGAGCAAATCTACTTTGAACACTCAAAGGCATTCTGTTGATGTCAGGGCAAAACCCCAAAACCATACTGAGGCTTTCTAGACCCTTCAATGTCTAGGTTCTCCAGCTGCGTCTTGAGTCTTTCTCTAACTCACCTCCTGCTCTCCAGCTCCAAATTTCCTTGTTTCTCCAACACACCTAGCTAGTCGCCTCTTACCTCTCCTGCCTTGTAATTGCTGTGTCCTCTCCCTGAAACAATTTCTACTCCTCCCCTTCCCACATGTACTTCTCTGATGCTTATTCATTTTTTTTAAATTGATTTTGGAGAGAGAGAAACATTGATTTGTTGCTTCATTTATTTATGCATTCATTAGTTGCTTCTTGAAGATTGAACCTGTAACTTTGGCATATCCAGACAACACTCTAATCAACTGAGCCACATGGCCAGGGCCCTACTCCTTTTTCTGGTCTCAATGAAGATTCTTCTTTTTTTATACATAATTTCTATTTTGTCTTTAAAAAAAATTTTTTTTATTTGCTTTTAGAGAGAGAGGCAGGGAGGGAGGAAGAGAGGGAGAGAAACTTCTATGTGAGAAACATCTCTTGGAACTTGCAACCGAGGCATTTGCATTGACAGATAATTGAACCAGTGACCCCTTGCTTTGCAGTGCAAAGCCCAACAATCTGAGTCACAGTGGCCAGGACAATGAAGATGCTTCTTTTTCCAAGAAGTTATCCTTGACATTACTTTCCTGTATTTCACCATTACTGCTCTAGTTGTTAATCCTACAACAGTCAATCTAGACACCAAGGAAGTCTCTGACCATTGGCCAAGGTGGCAGGCGGAGGTTCTTACATTGAGCAGGCTGAAAGCTAGAAACATAACTGGACTGGGCCCAAGTGCGAGTGAAAGCTAAAAAGATAAATGGTTTGGGAGGAGGAAAAAACATCCCCTCTCTCTTCCTATAAGAACTGTGGATTTAAGCAGGAAGATTAATATGGTCTTTGAGACAGGAGGAGTCCACTGTTTCCTAGGCCATGTAGCACCTGAATAACCTCTTCCCTTTTGCACAAGCACCTGCCTCACAAATTTGGCTTTTGTGGCAACGGGCAGCCAAACCTCCATTTGTTCTTTTTGTTTGGTAACAGTTTTGGAGACTCGAGAAGGGACAACATGGACCTTAGTAAGTCCTAGAGGGTTCAGACTAGGGTCCCAGCTGCTTGTGGCAGGCCAACCCTGGGAGACTGGGACGATGGCGATTTCCCAGCATCTACCAAGAGCTTTTCTGGAGGAGATTCCCTGCATTCCTGTTCAAGGCACCAGCCACTGGAAATGCCTGGCTGGTGAAAGAAAACAGGTCTATGGAGGAGATGGACTCCAACACTGGTAAGTTGAACTGGTATGCACACTGGGCATCCTCTATCCCTGCCACTTGGGCCTTGTGCCATTTGAGTTTTGTGCCACTTGAGTCCAGTTAGGATCATTTGCAGTACCGGTTGGCAGACTATCCCTGCTGCTTGGGCTTTGTGGCAGTTGGATCTAGTCAGGACCATTTGCAGTATCAGATGGTAGGCTATTCCTACCACTTGGGCTTCGTATCATTTGGGTCCGATTGGGACTGCTTGCAGTATCACGTAGCAGGAGGTAAGACACTAAGACTTCCTCATGAGCACTCATTTGGATTAATGGAATTGTGGATTCAAGTTTTGTTTATACGTTCCCACTTTGTCTGGGGTCCAGTGATGGTTATGGTTTTTGTATTTTCATGCCATCAGGGGTTTCTCTGTTTGACTCCTAAAGGGAGCCCACTGGGCTGAATTTTAGCAGATTGGTCCACGTACAACTATTATCCAATGTCTAAGAAGGAATTGGTTTTCTATTGTAACACTGCTTGGCCTTTGTATACTTTAGACTATGGGAGGAAATGGTCCCTAAATGGTTCCCTAAATTACTACACCATTATACAATTGGAATTGTTATGCCAAAGGTCAGGGAAATGGGACAAAGTCCCTTTTGTCCAGGTATTTATGTCTTTACACAATAAGGATTTGGCAAAGAAAGGAAACCAACTAATGACTCAGAAGGAAATTGGATTCAAAACCCCTACCTGATAGTAAGACTCAGAAAGAAAAGGAAAATGAGGAAATGAGTCTCTTTAATGCCCCGAACCCAGGGAACCCAGGATTAGCAACAGAAAGGTTTCCCCTACCATCACCCCTGCTGCTAGATACCCCTGAAATAAGGCCCAGAGGGGCAACAGCCCCACCCCTATATGAAGGAATGGTCTCCCCCTCAAAGACCCAGAAGGGCACCCAATTTGGCCAGGGAGCATCCCTATCTGGAGCAGGACAATTCCCTCTGAGGCAATATACTATAGGTGAAATAAACCAGGAAGTACAGCCCATTGGCTACTATTGGACCCATACTCCATTTTCCACTTCAGATTTACTGAATTGGAAGAATTCCAACTTTTCATATAGGGAGAATCCTCAGAAAATGGCAAATGTGATCACCTCCATTTTTGCCATTCATCATCCAAACTGGGCAAATGTACAGGCTCTCCTTTACATCTTGCTACGAGCAGAGGAAAGGCAGCTAGTTAAAAATTAGGCTAATGAAGAGGCTCAGTGCCTCTACCAAGAGAATCGCAACAGAATGCACAACCCAACCGGGGTGATTCCTTTGACAGAGCCCAATGGGGACCTAAATAGTGGGGACCTAGCCTTCCTAGAACATTACAAAAGGTGCATATTGGAAGGGCTTAAAAAAGGGGTGCCTAATCAAGACAGCCTGAATATGATACAGGCCGTTTGACAGAAACAAATGAAGATCCTTCTGAATTTTTAGAAAGGATCTATCAGGCCTATGGAAAGCACACTGATGCTGTCCCACAGGCACCGGAAAATGTCCAGATGGTAAACATGACTTTTAATGAGCAAAGTGCCCCGCATAGCAGAAAGAAACCCCAGCATTTAGATGGGGCATTGGGAATGAATGTCCTAGCTGGTGGATATAACCTTTAAAATTTACCATGACTGAGAAACATGAGGAAGGAAGTTAAAACAGACTACTGTTTTCTTAGAAACAGTGTGGGGAAACCAGAAGGACAGGTGTGATACGAAAGGAAATGGGAAAGACCCACCAGGTGCCAATCAATGCACCTATTGCAAAGAGGAAGGCCACGGAGAAAAGACTGCCAGGAACTCAAAAAGAAAAATAGAAAGGAACCATACCAGGCCCTAACTCCATAGGATCAGAAAGGAGGGCACTGGCTGATGGCAGAGGCACATGGGAAAATATCAGGCCATTTTATTAGACAACCCAAATGTTACCTTACAAATCACCACTACCTTAAACCAAGCCACTCTACCCCTGGACTCTGAGGGAGGCTCAGACATCCAGCATGATTTCTTGGAAATCATTGACCAGGTTTACTTCAGGAGACTGGATGTATTGGACCAGCCACTGACAGAACCCGATGGGGAATTATATACAGATCGGAGCAGCTC